TGGCGTGTACATACGAGACGTCAGTTTGATCGCCTTCGACTGTACAATGTGCGCATGCCTTCCGTTGGACGACCACATGTTGTCGGCGTTCAAGGTCGCCATCGTCGTAGCTTGTCGCCGTTCGCAGTGGTGGCGTCCACGTTTCTTCACGGAGGCGGGATATCGTCGTTCCGCGTGGCGGTGTTTGCGGAGTTTTGGCGGTTGACGTGGGTTCCGGTGTCGTCGATGGAAGAGGCGTTCGGGATGGTTATTGACGACGTTGTCAGGGGTCGTGCTTTAACGACAGATGAGAGGACGACTATCGCTGCGGCAGTGAATGTCGTCCTCTATCGTTGTGAAGTGGAGAGAACCGCGGGGAGGATCAAAGCAGCTGCTCGCGCACGACGGAAGGTGACGGCACTGGCGAGCAGCGGTAAAGGCTTGGACCTGGGAGCACTTTCGGACGCCGTCCTCCAGGTGTGCTACGCGTTGGGGTGCGGCGCCTTTCCGAGGGCGACTCCAAGATGGTGGATGAAGCGGCGGACGGGMGGAACATGGGAGGACCTGYGCCAAAGCGACGACRCCACCRACGACTACTTCAGAGACAAGCTCCRAATGTCRCCACGTGTCTTCCGCGAAATCGCGGAAACKCTTTCTCCATACCTGCAACGGCGTGTGACGTTTTACAGAGTGCCTTTGCAGCCGGATCACATCGTGGCGTACGCTCTCTATAGGTGGGCGTCGGGTGAGACCTACGACAGCGGAACGTGCAGCTTCGGCATCGAGAGGGCTTCTGGCATCACGGCGGTCCGAGACGTTACCGCTGCCTTGCTTGCTGCGTACCCGGACAAGATTTTGTGGCCCACTGGCTTGCAGAAGGCGGTCGTGTTGCGCGCGTTTGCAGACAAGGGATTTCCAAATTGCCATGGGTGCATCGACTGCACCCACATCTACGTGGACAAACCCGCCAATGCGAACGGGGAGGACTACTGTGATCGGAAGAGGTGATTCTCTGTGCAGGCGCAGGTTGTCGTCGACATGAATTTGCATGTGCCGGACGTCTTCGTCGGTTACCCTGGCAGCGTGCATGACATGAGGATGTTACATCTGTCCAATTTGTGGGACCGCGCGGAGTCTGGGCAACTTTTCACTGGCCCGCATGTCATGCTGCCGTTCGATGTCCGAACAAATGGATACTTGCTCGGCGACAACGGCTATCCCCAGTCGGAATGGATTGTCGTCCCGTATGGAGGTCTCGCGCAACATCCCACGGAGGCACGGTTTGACAACAAGCAAAAGACGGCGAGGGGAGCGGTAGAGAGGGCGTTTGGAAGATTGAAGGGCATGTGGAGGTTATTCCTACGCACGCACAAGTGCAACATGGACACGTTGCCGCAACATTTCATCGGGGTGTGCATCCTCCACAACATACTAATTGACGCAGACATTCCCTTCGACGACAACCTGTTGTGGGAGGTCGGTCCGGATGGCGTCCGACGCAGGGTGGATCTGGGCATGCATGCGGTGCTGCGTCCTGTTTGCATGGAGTCGTCAACCGGGGACGCGCTCATTTTGCGGGATGCGTTGGCGGAGAGGATGGGTGCGCACTGAGGATGGGTGGTTGTGGGAGTGGAGAGTCGAAGACGGTCGTGATGCGGAGAGATATCGGAGCACACTGAAGTGGGGAGGCACCGAAGAGATGATGCGCCACGAACGATAGGGAGGTACGCCCTCTCGTATCCACTGAAGGTGCTCGGAGAACACGACACTGAAGCCCTCCCAGTGTGCTGCCGTACGAAAGTTTGTTTGGTCGTCGTCAAGCACAATGTGCTTTCTTCCCCGGGGTTGTTTGGAGCACTCATCCGGCACGTTGTCGTCTTCCCGTTAGCGTGTAGCAGTTGTGCCGTAGATGGTCGATCCTCACTGCCGTTTTTTGCACGGTATTTCCATTCTGTCGTCATGTATGTAGCATTGCTGTTTCAGCGGCACAAGTGGTTGACTGAACCTTAGTCGAAGTGAGTGTCTTTCGTTTTCGTGGTGATCTGCGGCGTGCGAAACTCATAGTTGTTGTTCCGCACAGTATTGGTGAAGACTGAGTTTGGTGGTAGGTTTAATTACGGGAAGTCGTTGGTTGGGCAGTTGAGGGTTTAGCGGGGGGTGAGGGGGTCTACGAAGGACGGCGATTGAGCTGCCATCTACTTTTATTACGAACTGAACTCATTGCAAACCTTGGAAGGTTTCCCCTTATTCTTGATGATCTTCTTTCGTTGAATGTTGTTGCGACGTGGAGTGCAGTCTTCATTTTGCAATGTGTTTTCGTTCAGGATGTTTTTATAAGCTTGTGTCACGAATTTTCGCTCACGCCAGAGCGTGTGTGTCCATGTGTGTGTGTGTGTGTGTGTGTGTGTGTGTGTGTGTGTGTGTGTGTGTGTGTGTGTGTGTGTGTGTGTGTGTGATCAGAATGCGTGAATGCACAAAATATCGTTCTATTTGTTCCTTCCAAGGTTCAATTCATCCTTCGAATGCACGGTGTCGACGTCAGCAATGAACACATCATTCCATGGACATTACAAAACCCTTGTTCCATTAACATAACACATCCCCGTGAACACAACATATACCCAGAACAAAGACGGTTGTCCAATTGCCCACAAAATACACGAATCCATTGTTTGAATAAAAAAGAAGAACAACATTGTTTTCCCTTGTCAATTGGAACATGAAGTGCGTTAAAAACAATCAGTGTGTACAGAACCGAAGCCTCTGCTTCTTCATAATCCACAACGAATGCAGGAAGAGGACGCACAGAACGTAAACGGAAAGTGAAGGACGATTACGAAATGATATACACGGCATTGACAGTGAAACACACAAAGGCATCTGTCCTCCTACGAAAAAGATAAAACACGTGCCGTCCACTGGACAACCTATGTAGTAGACACGGAACGACGCAAAGTAGGTGCACTACCAACCGATCGATCGTCGGTGGTGTAGGTGTGCTAGATGGAAAATAGACAGAAAACGAACTACGAAAATCAGGGACAGGAAGCGCGACTCCCAGCGTGAAAGCCCCGACAAAGGACGCAACAGCAGTGGTGGCATCGCGAAGGCAATCGATACAGTCTCCCCGCTGGAGATACCCGCCCTCGCCGCAATCATCATCTTCTTCGTCGACGTCATCATCCAAAAAAAGGGGGTCTCGTTCTGGCGATCCAGTCCATGTTGCACTGCCACCATCTTCACCTTTGTCTTTGTCTTTCCCCCATCGACATGATCTTTGTGCTCACGGATGACGCACCCTCGCCCCCGACATTTACTAAACCCTTCCGCGAACGATCGTCGGCCCTCGCCGGCAGTCCATCCACTTCCACTCCCACTATCACCCGCCCTCGGCGCCATCAACATCGTCGTCGTCCGAGTCTTCCTCCTCAGGGGGGCCTGTGCCGAGCCAATCAGTCTTCGTTGCTTCCATCGGGAAGTGCAAAGTCGCGTTGTGATTGAACGTGAGGCCGCACTTCGATGCCCAGTCGGAGATATACAATGAGGGGGGAGTGAAGGTCGGAGGCGGTCTTCCCAGTTTCTGCGTCATCACAGTTGCGGCTAGCAAGACATGACGATGGGAGTCAAAATGGCGATCCATGGCGGCAAGAAGGGTGGTCTTCGACGTCAACTGCACGAAAACCCAGGCGTCAAAGTGCGATCTTGCGTCGTCCCCATCCATCCTCATTATCCACGCCGCCGCCGCCAGCAAGTACCTCATTGCCTCCGCAAGGGACTTCAGGCGCTTGTAAGACACACGCCCCGAGTCCATCGCCTGGGCCGCCTCTACCACATTCGTGAAATCTTGCACCAAACATTGAGAGATGGCCTCCTGGTAAGCCGGGCACTCGTTGTCCTGGTGCTTGTCCACCACGTTCGCTCCGACGAACCACAAAGGGAGCTTCATACCCAACTCTAGCGTGTTTCGAGTCGCCATCGGGCTGACTAATGAACGCCAGTCCTCCAATGCCCACATCGCTCTCGCCATGTCAGTCGCTGCGTCGTTCAAGGCGTACTGGTACGCCAAGTGATACCCCTTGTGTCTGCTGTCGGACTTGACAATCCAGCCGTGGATGGCCCTCTTCGCAATGCTCTCCACCTTCAACGCCCTTTCCTTCGCCGCCCTCAACTCCGAGGCGTCTTCGATCTTCTTCTGCGGAATGGAACTGTGGGGGAGGGTGATGCTCCTTCGGATCGCCGATGGCTGCACCCCCGTCGCCACATCAACGAGGTGAACTTGGGCTTCGTGCATGATGTCGATGATTTTTTTTCCCCGCGTTTGATTCCAGAACCGAATGTTGTCGGTCCATAGCCTCGCGACCACCTCCATCGCTTTCGCCTCCGGACGTTGCCCGCGAAGCTTCTTCACTAGCGGTTCGTCGTGTTCGCCCTCCGCCCCGCCATCGCCCGCCTTCGCAACGTCCGCCACGGCAACGCACCCTGAACAGCCCCCCCGCGCGGCTGCCGCGCAGGGGAACGCATTGTCGACGGGTCGACCACAGCTTGGGAACTGCTATCCACGCCAACAGCCTTTTCGCTCTGCTTACTCGACGGCGTCTGCTGCTGATCAGGAGCCACCTCCGCAGCGCCCACCCCCCCCATTTCGATCCGTATCGCACCCCCCCTTCTCTGCTTCACTTTCCTCACGACAGTCTGTTCCTGTTCTTCTTTGAAGTCGTCGTCCTCCTCCTGTTTCTCCTCTGCATCCACCCAATCTGCCTCCACGTCTCTCCCAACTGCGGCCTTTCCGCCTTCGGCGCCCCTTCTTATCTTCGTGGGATTGTGACGACCTTTCTTCGGTGCGACCTCCCCTTCACTAACTTGTTTCCTAAGAACTCTCCGCGATCGAGCGGGGCGAGAAGACATTGTGTGTCGTGTGTTGGAGATGGAATGGAAGGCGCATAAGAAGAACGTGGATCCGTCGACCTCGGAGATGGTGGCGAGAAGATATTTCCGCGCCTCGCAGCACCACACGGCGAGTGGTGGTTGATGGCGGCGAAAGCAGATGGCGGCGAGAAGAAACGATGGCGTGACGCACGATAGGAAGGTCGTCGGTGTTTATAGTGGCGGAGGTTTCAGGCAGCGACGAGATTAGATGGCGGCGCACATAGAGCACGCTTGATGGCGAGTAATGTCGAAGGAGGCGAGAAGATGAGATGGCGGCGCTCGCAAAACACGGCGATAAAACAACGATGGCACCTGTAGTAGAAGGCGGCGAGAAGCTTGGACGACGAAGATCTGTTCGCGGCGCGCGGGGTGG